GGCGTGACCTTTGAGTGTTCGCACCTAATGATACGTTATTACCCCATATATGTATAAAACCTATATATGTGCTCATATGAGTAGGTATGAACAAATATTTGACAATTTGATATGAAATGGTTTTGAACCATTTGATTTATGATATGAAGTGTGTTTTCGATATGCATGTATTTTAAGGAGTAAGCATTGCATTTTAACATGGCTTTGAGAACATCATCCGTAGTCCATTTTCCTTCCTTATTATGTTATATAATATCTACTCATTGAGTTGTGCTTTGCTCACCCTTCATTATTTTAGTTTTGTAGTGTATTGAGAGATTAGTTGTTGCTTCCTTTTGGTTACTTTCGTGAAGTCGGCATTTTATTCGTGCGACTTACCTTCATTGTAATTCCTTAGAACATATTTATGTTTTAATTTGCTTTATCTTAGATGTTCTGCGAGTTATAGGCTGTGGGTAGTGTATTAAGAATTGATTATGAATATTGATTTTGGGATATTCAAATTTGAATTATTTTACGATTGTAAAAGAAATATTTATTAAGTCATGATAATGTTGATATTTAATGATAAATTGAGTGATATTGAATTGAGGTTTAGATTAGTATCCGAGGCTTGCTTGGTTCGAGGTAGGCTTCATGGTCCATTCGGTCTTCACATGGGTCACGGCCTATTCCTAGGGTCGTGACAAATAAAAAAGCACTAATGCATTATAGTGCAAGGAAAGAAGAACATGGAGCACTATAACCTATGTAAAAGAGAGTAGCCTATTACGGAGGTCATGGAGGAACAAAAAATCTATAAATACCATCTGCAACCAAGAAAAATATACACAATAATACCAAAACACAAACCCTTGCAAATTACAAATTGCTCAAGGAGCATATTCACAAGTTTTACACTTAATACTTGTTAATTAGTAGCTATTTAGAAAATAATTTATTGGCGATAATTGATCGTAATTAGTACGCGATAATTTATAGGCCGATAGTTGGTTCTTAATCCTCTATTCATGCTTGCAATCATCATCATCACTAGTTCCTTCAACTTCGTTATTCTAGAGCATCCATTTGTGAATATTCGTGGTTCTCTTTTACTGGAAGTTCATTAAACTCGATATTATAAAAACCATTGTCTCTTTCCAACGTTGAACGACACTTCTAAAAAAATTAAATATTAGAGATTTTACGTCGCATTTGTGAGTTATTCCGAGATGCAAGTTATTATTGAGTTTAGAGTCGCCGCCTAATATTAAAGGAAATAGAAATCTAAAAGTGGCACTAGTGAAGAGATTCTAGGATAAAAAGTTGATTATGCTTTAGGAAGATATCAATCACCTAAAAAACTCTTTCCTAAGAAAGGTACCATGTCTAGTTTAGTCTTAAATTCATCTCCTAAAGTACTTTATTTGTGCCAAGTTATTTCCAATTTAAACTCTATTTTTCAAGTTAAATTAAGTTTTTTATTTTTGAGCATGACATCGTATTGAAACGATCGTCGATTCCCTTCATCAAGCAACACGTCAATTCAAACATCGAATCCACTTTAAGCCTCTATACAACCGATGTGTCGGAGAACATACCGATTGTTAAATGTTAATTTTTTACCGACAGCGGTCCCTATTAGATATAAGACTTTGTTAAGAATTTTTGTTATTTTTTAGCGACAACGAGTCCCTACTTGGATAAGAGACTTTTTAAAAAAAAATTATTATTTTTTTTAGGCAATAACGATTACTATCCGATATGAGACTTTGTTAAGGATTTATTTTTTATTTTTATTCTTTTTATTTATTCTTTTTTATTTATTATTTGTTGATAAAAAAATTATTATCAATCCCCTAAAAATTAGGAGACTTAATAATTAATTTATCAAGTAATTATCTAATCTAATACTATAATAAAAATTCTAAAATTTAAAGTTAATTAAATAAATTCAAAAAAAGATATCTAAGGAAAAATTAAATCTAGATTAATATTGAAAATAAAATGCATTGATAAACAAAATAAACATGCTTGAATTATATGACAATAAAAGATTAGAGCAAAAAATATCTTGGGCCTCGACCCATTATGCTAGACCACTAGATGCCAAATCTAGCAATATCCAACTTCATAAACGTTTTTTTTTTCCCAAAAAGGTTCCTCCAACAAGAATTAAGTAATTCTAGGACAATTTCTAAGCATTAAACTACTCACTATCTTATTTCTCATTCCTGGAATTAGAAACATAATAATTGAATTTGAAATTGAAAGAACTTGAATGAAACGAGTTACTTGAATGGATGTTAATGAAATTGGAAGGAATTGAAACAACTAGTGTTTAGAAGCTAGGTTGTTCCTCCTTGAAAATGTAGAAAAAACCTTAGAAAAACCAAGAAATTTCGGTGATCGAATGCTAAAACCCCCTTTAATTTTCACTCTTTGTTCTCGATTTCTATTTCTCTTCACTCACCGAATTCCTATAACCTTTGTAACCCATAATTATTACCTCTTAAACTCAAGCATTCATATGAAATCCAAAAAATAATAACATGAAATCGAAATGAAGAACACCTAGAAAAACCCGAAATGCAAAAACTAAAAATCCAAAAAATCCTTCGATTTGTAACCTTTTTCACTATCTCCTATCTACTCGAATGCTCCTCCTCCTTATTGTACTTTCGAACACCCTATTTATAGCTTAAAACTAACTAATTTCCTTTTCAATTTTCCAGATTTCTCTCTCTTTCCATTACCATATATCTTCAATTATTATAGCTTGGATTGTGGTTCAATTAAAGGGATCATATGTTGGCGGGGAATCAAATCGGGGATGCAACAAACATCAAATTAAAAACCATTCCCGATTTTCAAATTTCTACAAAAATTCGAATGAAACGATGAATTGTTCAATTCACTCGTTTCATTCACCAAATTAAAGAACAGTCGCACACATTTTAAATTACAATTGCATCCTCCATTTTCTTTCAATTAGGCTCCTAATTTTATCTTGATTTGTTTTCAATTTAACCGTTACTAGCTTTCAATTCAACTCAATTTAGTGCAATTAGGTCCCTATTGGCTTCCAATTTTAGTTTATTTATTTCCCTTTTTTTATTTGTTTTCTTTTGTTTTTCCCTTTTTTTCTAAATTAAATTTTAATAATAATAAAAAATAATTTTTTATTGAACTAAAAAATTAAATAAAAATAAAACATAACTCAAATTTTGGGTTATGACCCCTGTGGTATTGCATTATAAATTTTTTTAGTCCATAATTGTTAGGTTTTTATTCATATTGCGAGCATATTGTTCTTAGTGTTTTAATAGTTTAATTTCTTAGTTTTTGGTTTAATTTTGTTACTATGAATATATACTAAATGAAAAAGTTTGACTTCTACCATAAGTCATCTTTAATTTCAAGTAATCATCCCTACAATCCTGTGACCTAACTAATTTAGGAGGTTGTCGTTTTTTCGTAATTGCGGTCTATTTATTTTAATTTAGTCTATTTACAACATAAAACTCAAAAAATATAATTAGGAGTAATTGTAGTTTACATTTACAACTTAATTTGATTTATCAATTTACAAGATTATAAAATTGACTGCTCTACGAAACGCATTTCAATCATCATTTTTTTTTGGTTATAAAATCCTTTTAGTTGAGATCAGTAGAAAAATATCCGCAACGTATATATACTACAATATCGCTTGGCATTAAATAATTATGTATTGATCACCATATTCTTCTTCAAGAAGGCTAGCTAGCAACTAAAAGTTCATTTTCTTTTCTGCATCTTTATATATCAGCTCTTTTTATAGCCATTTTTTTTAGTGTCTATCAATAATGACAGTAGCAAGAGGAATTCAAGTTGTCTCTTTTTCGGTTGTTTTATCGAAAAAGCACAAGACAGATGACATCCTGTGATAATTGTTCTAAATCAAAGTGACATGCAATTTTTTATTCCAATTTAGCTTTTTTAGTCGATAGTAGAAAATATCTTTGAGTCAATCGTCAATCGAAATTAATTCTTCTTTTCGGACAATTTTAAAAGCGCATCATTCGCATTAGTCAAATATATTAAAAAAATTAATAACTTTCTCCAAATACTAATTTCAATATTTAAAATTAAAAAAAGAAAAAAAAAGCATATTTCCTTAACAAGGAATCCAATCCCTGAAAGAGTTGGTTCGTGGCATCAGCATCATAGACCATGCCACAGCCAGACGACAAATAGATAGAGAAATCAAGGCCATTCAATTGAGCCTATAAAAGCTTCGAGTTGGGTCTATTGCTTTTGGATATGGTACTTGGCACTAAAGGAAATTTGGGCTGGCAGCTATGCCTCTAAATTTGGGCTTCTTTGCCGTAATATTAACTTTGGTAAGAAATTAAAGGCCCACAAAATCAAAAACTTGTATACTAAAAGGCCTATTCCTAGTTGAATCAAGGAATCTTAATTTCGTCCCAAATCTATATATTCATTTTGAATTGCATCTTAAATCTATAAATTTTGTTAACAAAATCCTAAATTTTCCTATAGTTGTCAAATGTGCCTTTTTGTCAAATTTTTAATAAATTGTTTCTAACATACATATTTTATGCACTCAATTGATGCTGATCTAAGAGGAATTTTCATATACAATTGAATTAATATCAATATTTTTGGTCTAATGTGCACATTTATGTACTAAAACATCATTAATTTTAGTAAACTTTGATAAAATGTTGATGAAAATTAACAAGTGAGAAATTTTTTGAAACGTTTGGGACTTATTTGACCAAATTTAGAGGTTGAGTACTCAATTGAGAGTAAGTATATAGGTTTGGGATTAAATTGAGGTTTTATCAAGGAGATTTTAAGTTCTTAAACCAAAACGACGTCGTTTTGGTTTTTTCCCCCAAAAAAAAAAAAAAAACAAAAAAGCCTGATTTCATTCTTCTCTTCTTCGCTGTTTGCACGCACCAAAAACGGAAAAACAAAAAAGAAACTGTTTGTACTTTGCGGCGTAATCGTCAATGGCATCGACGATCAAAGCTTACGGCGTTCCTCTCTTTCTCTTTTCCCTCTCCGTATTCTACCAGCTCGTCGTCCTTCCTCGCTGTTTCCCTCCCTCTCATTACGATGGTAATAATTACGTAAAATTAATTGAAAATTGGATTAGGACACTATAAACTGCAATTGTGATACTTGTTTTGTAAACGACGTAGTTTTGGAGGTAAAGCGGCATAGTTCTGTTGAAGAAGTGAGAGAAGCATACGAGAAGTTTTCTTCTAAGTGGTAGTAATTGTTTTAATTGTATTTATTTATTTGCTTATGTTATTTAATCTTTAATTTAATTGGCATCAATCGTAATCCATTTCAGGAATTCAGGCGCGGAAATTCCTTCTACTACTGATTTTATAAAGGTAAGTTAACTTCTTGTTTTTTCAATTGTGAATTACTGAAATGTATGTTTTGACGGACTGTATCTTAATAATTTATCTCTGAGCATGATACATGTGGTGGAATTGCATTATCGTTTTTTTTTTATTTTTTAATTTCCTTTGTTTGTTGAGCATGAGGGCGTTTCTGAGATGATTTAAGGATTCATTAATAGTTGCAGTAGTCGGAGGGAGGAGGGAGTTCTGCGGTTTGTGCTTAGATGATGTGGTTAAGGGCTTTACGGCACAAGTTGTTGGAAAGGCTTGGATGGTGAAAGTGGAGACGTCGAACTGTTGTATTGGATAGTGTTAGGACACTTGATCAATTATGATGATTAGAAGAAAGAAAATGGTTGGAATATTTGAAGGTGAAGAGCTTGGTCAGGATCCTTTAAAGACTTCTTTGGCTGTTCTGGTCATCTTCTTATATGCAGGTAGAACCTACAAATGTTGGTGTAATGGCTTAATATGAAGAACCTCTGTTGCGTGTCAGTGCTGGTCAGCTGGGGAAAGTCACTTGGTGTTGTTGTAAAATGAACTTGCACGCAGCTACTCTACTAGCTAAGTGTGTTGGATGCTATCAGAGGTGAAAGTTGAGTTGAGGTGTTAGTATTACCATCCTTGAAAAGCTGGTTCCCCATGATTATTCTTTGAAGTAGTAAGAACAATTTTTAAATGTGAGGAAGAGTGGAAATATGGGGAAAAGATTAAAGAAATTGTGATTGCAAGTTTTGAGAAACAGTTTACTGAAGTTTTCGAACTGTTTTTGGAGCCCTCATTCTCACTTGAGTTTCAGTACACTGCTTCAGATTTAATTCTTATAATTAATAAAATGGAAAGTGTTCTTGTGCATGCTAAATTTTAAGAAGCAATAAGCCTATTGAAATCAAGTTGTGCAAGATTTGTCCAGGGAGGTTACTACAAGTTTAGCAATTATATTTCTCATCTTCTTGTCTGCTATGTTGATTATGCAACTTGATTATGGGTAGGTAATGGGTTATTGTTCTGTTCTTTTCTGAATTGTTTTCTAATATGTGATTCTTTCAGATCCAATATGCTTATGAGCTGCTGATGAATCCTTTACGGAAAAGGGACTATGACCTATTTGGCATTGATGAGCAAGCTGTGAGTAGTTAGCTCTTGGACCATTGATTACTCTCTCTCTCTCTGTTTTGTTTTCCCCCAGATTCCTCCAACTCTGTTCTCTTATCCAGATCATGAGTTGTTTCATAAGTGACTAGATTTTCTTGGCTGCAGCATATTATTGACAAGATTAACTTGCAATATGCTGGGGAAACTTTTTCAGGCATAGATCTTCCATTACTAGATGCTACTACTTTTGGTTAGTCAATACACTATTACTTTTGGTTACTAGATCTTCAATTCCCTCTGTAAAATATATGTTTTCAATTGTAACTAGATTGTTTCTATGTGTATAATTTTGACTCTTGGCTGATGAGTGAATAATCTTGTCTTTCTTTCAGATCTTGGAGATCACACTTTTAATGAGATTACATCTCAGGACTTTGCAACTATGTTTGATGGTCCTAAACCATGGCTGGTTCTGGTATGTTGTTTTCAAGAGCATTTTAATAAACTATTTCTGCAGATCTGTTATATCATGCTATGGGATGATATTGATATCTTGTTCCATAGCTTCAAGTGGAATTGATTTTCTGAACTGTGTATCATTTTTAATTATTATTACTTATCTTTTGAAGATAGGAAACTAGTAGCACGTTGTATTTTGAATCTTTTGATTTATACTTATTGTCTCATAAAATAAAAGAAGAAGATTTCTACTTGATTCTTGATGTACGGTGGAAAGAGGAAAGCAGCGCAAACAGAAATATGGCTAAAATATGAATGCAATTAATTGGAAAAAAAAAAAAAAAGGACTTAGGGCTTGTAGGAGAACCTCCAAAGTTTGAATATATGATAAATAATAGAAGATAGTCATGTAAGATAGCCCTACCAGATATTCCTGTAAGATAGCCCTACCAGCTTATTTATTCTAGTTAAAGACCAAATACTAATCATTGTAGGCAAAGAAATCACTTATGAAAAGGCACGTGCTATTCACATGACAGTTAGAAAATCAAAATAACAAAGGAATTCCCAAACTTAGAAAGAAAACCAAAATTTCTAAAGAACTTATCTAATTCTTCCAAAAGATGCTGTTTCAATTCTTTTCATCTTCTGTTTTACCCCCTTTTCATGTTCCACTTGTTATAATTGTTATTTTGGTTACTTATGCAAATATAAGTTGCCTAAAACACATACAGGAAAAATAAAATCCAGGTTTGCCAAGGGATTGTTGTGCAGAACTCTTTAGTAAAAAGAATGAGAAAGAGAGAGGGAGAGTGAGAGAGAGGGAGTTTGTAGTGTAGAACTGATTCTTCCACATGTCCCTTTGTAGGTGGTTTATTGCTATTTAGATTTTAATTAATATCAATTCTTGCCAAGTTATTATTAACGGTATTGTGCTTTGAAATTTTGATATAGGTATATTCACTTGGGAGCAACCAATGTGCTCAATTCTTTACTTTGTGGAAAGAAATTGGTACGTCTTTCATTTGCTAAATTATTGAAGTTTGAGTCAGTTTTCAAAAATTCTGTGTTGCTTGGTCATTTTTTGTAATGGTATCTCTTATTATGCTCATTTATTTATACTTTTATATGAAAAGATTTAGGTTTGCTGATAACCTGCTGAATTGTATGTTTTACATTTCTGATTTATCATTTTTACTGAGATTCTTTCTTATTTCCCTTCCTGGACTCTCATCCAAACTTGTAAGGCCTTACCCTTGAGCTGACACTCCATCTTTAATTATGAACAGTTAAATTCTTCAACCCTTGGCTGGATTCTTGAGTTACCTTTCCTGAAGTTTTATTCCCATTCTGGTCTTGTCATTTCGATTTTGTTGTCATGTTCAATAATCAAACAACTCAATAATATGGATAAATTATTTATTCCAATTCTAGGTCTCTCATTGATGGAATCCAAAAGAAATACCAATTCCTCTGGGAGTCCCCTGAATGTCTTTTAGAAGCTCACAATAAAACCATGGACCTAGTTAGCTCCTTGCAACTAAGATAAGCTTAACACTTCTTGGCCTCTTGATAAAAAGTCTAATATATGTCTTATATCACTGTGTGCATCATTTCTAATGCATTCTAAACTGGATATCAACACTTCTTTTGAAGATAAAGTCTGTCGACTTGAGTGTCTAACTGGATCAGTGTATACGTAGTTGGGTTATTTTATAATTTTGTACATGGTTAAGAATGGAGAAGGAAACTAGGTTTTAGGTATCTCAAAAGTTTGAGACAACTCTTTTAAGTTTTTCATTTAATTTCATGCTGACTTTCATTGTAATCATTATCTTAAAAGACTCATGTTGCTGTTTTATTTTTTCTTAATGACTGATCTCTTGTCTGTTTTGAATGCTTTTCATTTGAGAGATCAATAAGAATGATGCAATTTTAGTATGGTCACTCTTTGCTATTTTATTTTTCTCTCTGTCTTGACATTCAGCTGCTCTATTGGATGGTGTCGCCAATGTTGGTATTGTGGAACTCGGCGAGCTTCAACTTGCAATGTCTCTTGCTGAGAGAAAGCCAACTGGACAATTTTTCTATCGGAATGGTGAGTGTTACTTCCAGTCATTATTCTACTCCTTTAATTAAACAAATGTAAAACAATGAAAAAAAAAAAATCAATCAATGAATGCATTGTAAAATGAGGAGAAATTTAGTTTTATTCTTTGTATACTAATGGATTGGAAGTAGACAGAAACGAGTACAAGTCGTTTGCTTCTACAGCTGAAATTTTAGTGACAGGAACTGGTATTGATTTTTGTTGATGTACTTAGCTGCTTTAGTCGCATCAATTATCTTTTTGGAGTTGGTAATGAAGCAAAGTGCATCCAAAATGCTCTGGTAACTTCAACTCATGGAATTGGAAAGGTTGAAGAAATGAATACAAGGATGCAGTGTTAATGAATCATGTACATAGAAAGATGAAAGGCCATATCTTGGAGACAGGCATCTACTTGATAAATCATTATCAGTGAGTGGTTGGGTTAAGAAAACAATATATCTAGCCTTCTCTGTATTATCATGTCCTTGCGTGAGTGTACTATCATATTCCTGTTTCAAAAATGATTTGATGGTGCTTCGAGGGCAGAGTTAGAGGCTTGGTGTTTTATTGGCCAGGTGGAAGCAGCAAAATATTTTGATATCATCAGTGTTGTTATTAAGGGCATAATGGTAAATTATCGATCTTTTTTGTATAAATTCTGCACCTTCCCTGTATAATGACATATGCTGACATTGCTTGTTCCACATCAAAAGCTTCCTTTAAGGCGATTGTGTAGTAAATTCCTTATAAGGTTAAATCCTTTGCTTCTGTAATAGGCTGATGTTTCTACTAGAATCTCGTTGAGTTGCAGGACAACCCTGTTACTGCCTTTTGTCCTAGTCTTGTCTTTTATTATTTCCCTCCCACAAAAGATGTCCTATCCATGAATAGCTAATGAATTTTGTGCCAGATCTTTCATTTTTTAAAAAAATTTCTAGATTAGTCCTTTCAGATAATTAGTTGGAGAAAAAGTGTGGAATTTAATTTTTAGTGAGTGGAAAGTAGGGAAGAGAATTAATATTTGACTTTTTGATATTGGACACATATTTTGGATAGAACAAAAAGCGAAGGAGGATGCCCATTGTGGGATGGAGGGAGCAGTACTTAGATTGCTTATAGCTTCTAATTTGCAAATAATTGGCTTTCTGGTGGTTGAAAACTTGAACCTTGAATTCTTTCCATCACCATGCTATAGACATTACAATCTCTGTGTCAATGGTATGACAGTTTCCCTTTCTCCTCCTCCTTTTTCCAAGTGGCAAAGTAGGACTGGTCAATAAAGAACCAGCTGAACAGTTAAATGCATTGATTTGAATATTTGATGCCAGAAGTTTTTTGTTCTTGCATCTCTGAACTCATTTGATACTTTCTGCTAAGACACCTTTATTATTTGCATTTGTCAGAGTATATATATATATGTTTTTAGTTTTTGGCAATATCTTATTCTTGATTTGATGTGTGCCTCTCAAATTGCATGTGTTTTTATTAACTTTAGCTTCAACATAACTTATTTCTTGTTTTAACTTGATGTAAATGCTCACAGGACTTCCTTCGCTTGTTGCTTTTCCGTCGGGGTGTAAAACGTCAGATTGTCTTTTTAGGTAAGTTGAAAATAAGAGATTGAATTGAAGAGTGAGAAAATAAAAAAATACACTGCAAAGCAAGAAAAAGAAATTAAAAAAGATGGTTCGGTGGAGGGAGAGAAAAATTGTAAATTCTGGAGTCAATTTTAGAACCACTAAGACACTGCATTTCATTTGATGATGGCAATATTAAAATCTTTTAAGGTGTTATATGTGCTCCAAGTAATATCTTTGCTGACGGGACCAATATTATAGTACCTAAGTTGGTTCTTTGTGTTAGATTTGAGGGTGATCTCTCCATTGATGCAGTCACTGATTGGTTTGCGACAACCGTGCTGAGTTTACCTCGAATTTTGTACTATTCAAAGGAATCACTGGTAATTCAAGGCATTTGCTTATCATAATCATTTCTGATGATAACTTTGTTTTTCCTCCTTTTGATATTAGGGATATTGAAAGTATTTCCATTATTTTGACCGAAGGAATTTTTTTTTTCCGTGAGTTAAAGCATCATGTGTAACATGAGAGAGCATGTGAGAAGGAAAAGTCTCCAAAATGGACCATGGCATTCCATTGTCTCCTTTTCTAGCCTAGATGTTTTACCTTTCTCCTATTGAGATTTTTATGTCTTATGCTCATTGCAAATGAAGTACTAGGATCATATTGAGGGGGGCTAAGAAGGGAAATTTGTTGATTTGTCGGTGGTTCTGTTAGTTTTGTTGTTATTTTTTGGGTGTTCTAGCTTGTACAGAAACAATACACTCCTCAGTTGGGAAAATATATTAATTCTGATTAATTGTTGTTTCTTGGCTATCCCAGGCAAGTTCTCTTTTCTTTGTTGCCTCTGCCTCTCTTCCTTCACTTAAAGTTGGTTTCTGTATGGTTTGGTAGTCATGACACATGATAAAGTTGTCTTTACCTCTCTTCCTTCACTTAATGTTCATGAATTTGAGGGAGTCATAAGGTTTGATAGTTATTGCTAAGCACAATCTAGTTTATATTTGACCTACATGCTAAGTACACTATATTAAAAGGCCATATGCTAAAAAGAAAAGAAAAGAAAACATAGTAATAAAATAATATACTTCTTGCATCATCTGCCTACCAAGTATCAGAATACATCCATGAGTTTTCATTATCCCTGCAACATGGTGAGAGAATCTAGCGTGAAGAAACTTTATTATGCTTTAAATAGATTTTTAAATCCTTGGACATGATTTCATAGAGTAGCAATGCGCTTGGTGATAAAATAACAGCACATCCTTTTTAATTGGTATAAACAGAATGGGATTAAAGTTCACTTTAATGCATGTTGCACTATTGTTGGAATTGATTTACTTTAGAGACATTACAAGTTAAGTCTTCCAGTCAGTTGTCTGAAGCTATGATTAGAAATTACATCATGTCCATTCCAAAGATTAGTACCCTGTAAAGAACAAGTGCAAGAAGCAAAGGAAAGAAACAAAAGTAGAGAATAGGAAAAGCCCAAGAAAGTAACCTTAGATATCGTAGACCTGAAAGAAATCTTCGAACCAAACACGTGATTCTCTGTTAAGGTAAAATCAAGTTGGATTTGTTTCTCAACTTAATTTGTGGTCATGTATTGAACTAGCTATGTATCACCATGTCTTCCATGTCTTGCTGCTTAGTTTTAGTAGACAAACTGCTGGATTTTTCAGTTAATTATTTTTTTGTTGTTGAGTTTAATGCGAAAAGCACTCTTTATCATTAGATTATATGCAAGTAAAAAGCAATACTAGGTTTCCTTTCTCTTTTCATATCTTTGTTCTGTCACCTAGTCTCTTTACTGCTTGAAATGACATGAAACTTCATTTTAATACAGGGACAAAATTTTCTGGCAAAAAGTGGTCCCCACAAGGTAAATTCTTTTTCAAGTTTATGTTAATGGTTAATCTATTTTCTACAAGTTTGTGTTGAATTAATGAATTAATTAGTCATTTCTTGAGACATCGGGACAGAACTTATCTGTAATTTGCACTTAAAATTTTGTGGGAAATATTTATGCTTTCAAATTTGAACCTATTAATGAATTTAAATTTGTCTTCCAATTTCTGCCACTTCTGTGATAGCTTGCATGGAGGAAGAAGCTTGAAGTGTTTTTTTACTTGTTTGGCTCTCATGATAACAACTCAGGTCTTACTCATGTTGTTTGGCTAATTTATGTTTCAATTCTATATTATATAAATAAAGGAAAAGATATTTTAAGTGTTAATAGAATATTTCGTCCTCTACTTTTGACATTTTCATAATGCTCTCCTTCTGTGATAGCTTGTCATGGAGGAAGAAGCTTGAAGTGATTTATTACTTGTTTTCCTCTCATGATAACAACTCATGCCTTACTCTGTCTTTGGGCTAATTTATGTTGCTAATTCAATATTCTAAAGAAATGCATAAGATATTTTTAGCATCAATAGCGTATTTCGTTCGTCTACTTTTGACGTCTTCTTAATGTTGTCTCCCTATGTTTTTTCATCATTAAATCCATCCTTATTCTCCTAATATGTTAACAATGTGGTGCCTTAATCAACTGCTATTAATAACTATGCTTACATGTCCTACTTTTGCTGTTACATGATAAAAGGACCCATTAAAATTAAGACTAAATTAAAAGGAAAGAAATAACAAGTTTACAAATTAAGACATCATAAAGAGCCAAAATTAAGAATAATTTTGTATTAAAAAAAAAAAAAAAACATATCCTCTCTCTGAAACATTGCTCTGCTCCTCCTAATTATCATTTCTTTCTTTCTTCTCCATAGCGACCACCCTCTTTCATCACCATCACCACCTCCCTATATCCTGTACTTTGTCATTGCTAAGCTCTTTCACTCTCATCATCACTGCTAGCCTCACAATCTCTCTTATCAATACACACTTCTTGCTCATTATTACACTTGCTTAGGTCAGATATCACAGCCTTGTTCACTGGTTTTTGGGTCTTGTCTAGGTCCTTGAGTTAGACGAAAAAGAATGGGTTGATGGTTGCCCCTTTGAACCTTTTAAATTAGAGAACAGTGATTTTGGTGGTTATTGATGAAGGTTTAAGGGCAGCAACTAGCTTGTGGAATTTTTTATAGATTAATTTTTCTAATAGAATGTTACTTAATCAGGGAAAGAGAAAATGAGATTTTATTCTTATTTCTGGAATTTTAGATGTATTAACTTAATCGGATTATATTTTATTACAAAATGGTAAATGAGATTTTAATTTATTTTTTCATTTTCTTTTTACTGAATTTTCATTATTATTACTGTTGCCAGTTTTCATGTTAGGCATTTTTCTTGTTATGTCCAAGGACTGAAATCTTGAAGGTTTGAAAACTTTTTTTCCCTTTTCTTTTAGATAAGTAGAGTCAAACACTTAAATATGTTAAGAAATATCTTTTCCGGGATAAAAGCAAATAAATATTTTCTTTTCAGGGACCAACTCTCTCTCTCTCTCTCTCTCTCTCTCTCTCTCTCTCTCTCTCTCAATAAAGGGGTATATAATCTTTCTAAGGGAAGAAACTTTCCTTCCTTTCAGGACAAAAGAAATGAATTTTTAACTTTTTTGGGATTAAATTGAATTTCTTGACAAAAATGGACCAGCTGGGTTTTTTTTTTTTTTTTTTTTGGGAGGAAGGGAGGGGGCTCATCCTTGGTTATGCTACATGTCTTGATGGAAAAATAACACTATTAATAATGGATATGGACAGATGGTCTTAATCGAAAAAATATTGATGGTCCACGCTAACAAATATCAAGTAAACGGACGAAATATATGATTATCTCTGTATTTGTATATTCTGCTAACTTCTATGTTCTTGATTAAATTGCATCTTGGAATGAGTCAACTGTATGTCAGCACTGAATTTGATAATGGCTGTATGATTTTCATGTTAGATCATGCTAGCAACTTGTTTATGTGAAGTTCTTGTAATATGTTTGTTGATAAAATAAAGTAATATTGAATTGACTCTTGCAAGCTGGACTCACTACTCGAGTAATGAATTGTGAAATCAGATCTCAAATAGATTTAGTAGCCTCATTGCCAACTAGTGTGATACCTGAATTGGATTCTCATTATAGGAATTTTTCCTTTTGGAGTATCTTTCTCTTTGCGTCATATTAATCATCCAAATTGATGTCGTATTTTTCTGTGTTATTCTTATGCTGTGACATGATGTTTTATTGATTTCATAGTCATGATGCAACCCTTTTTCTTTCTTGGCCTAGGACCAATTTAGTGCAGTCAAGTAAGTGTGAACTATAATTGTTCAAAAAATTTAGTTCAGTTAATCTTAGTCTGAATTATGCAGGGATATAAATTTTCTTAGAGATTTTGATCTTTTAGAGGAGTTAACGTCGTGGAATTAACTTCTTTCAGTCATATGAATAGAGTAGACTTCAAAAGCAACCATTTGATTCAATTATCAACACCACCAACATGGATTATACCATACTGCAATAGATTAGAGAGTTTTTGGTACTTATAAAAGGAGGAGGTGCAATGGAATTGTCAAGTCAGGAGTTTTAAGTCTCTCAAATCCATCACATGTTTCTCAATTGCTTTAGAATCTAGAATCTTTTCTCTTATTGGGTGCCTGCTTTTAATTCCACTTGACATTCTTCAAGGCTGTTAAAAAAAATAAACATTCTGGCATGCATAAATGTGACAATTTAGCGTTTAGGAAACTTGTCTTGTTGATGGTATTTACATCATTGGAGTGATGCACTCTATATCAAACAGCAAATGCATACCCAGCCAGTTCAATATTTTGATGACAACAGGCATCATTCTTTCTCAGTGTTTGACTGAGCTTCACCAAACACACAACAATAATTCATGTGATGTGAGCTTGGTCTTTGGTTCCTATGAACACCAGGCCTTTGGTTAAGGTGTGTGGCTAGCCCCTCCACCCCTTTTTATTGCAAAGGAGAAAAAACGAAGAAGGAAAAGATAAGGAAACCGTAAAAAGAGAAAAAGAGAAACCAATTTGATAGCCATTCTTTGATTTGCATATACCTTTGGTGATAACTTCATAATTGTACTAATGGTTTTGTGCATGTGAATTTTAGGTGAAAGTCATTTTCTTCACAAGAACAGGAGAGCGTGCTACTCCATTTGTACGCCAGACTGCTAAAAGTTATTGGGCTTATACCTCTTTTGCATTTGTGCTATGGCGAGAAGAAGATTTCTCTGTTTGGTGGAATACGTATGTGAATGTGGTTGCTTCTTTCCCAAATACTGTGCTGTTATTTGTTTGGCCAGGGAGCCTACAATTGTGCATTCAATTTCAGTAGCTTGCCTAGTCCTTTGCAAATTGAACTAATACCTTTTTTTTAACAAATACCACCTGTGCATCTATGATTGTTTAACCTGAAAAAACAGTATAGTGCTCACTAATTTCTTCCATAACATGAAATTGATGGATTCGAATTTGTGGTATCAGATTTGAGGTGGAATCGGCCCCTGCTATTGTTTTTGTGAAGGACCCGGGGTGAAGCCAGTTGTTGTCCATGGTATGTGTTTGTTTAATTTTCGTATTTGGTTTTGGTGCCAGTGGAACTTTGCAATGTGGTTTCTATGCTTCTTTGAACTAACTTTGCATTGTGTATCATGTTTCAGGAACGGTCAACAATTCAGAATTTTTAGATCTTATCGAAAAAAATAAACAACAAGGTACCTTTTGTTAATTTCTTATTACTGTTTGTTTTAGACTTTCAAATCAAACCATTGGCATTTTGCGTCAATTAGCTGTCATCGCTAACATTACCATTGGATTTATAAATTGTTTAATTATTTGCTGGCTCATTGATTTTCTCTTTTAGCCAATGTTTGTCTTCTCAATTAGAAAAATATTTTTGGTTTCCAAATTGTATTATGAATTCTCTTCTATGTATTCTTTGCTGGGGAAATTGATCATGTTCTATTTGCTTTGTTTTTGCTGCCATTATTAAATGCTAAATAGACATGTTTGCTCTACATAAGTTTAGTTGGAAAAGTTGTCAAATTATGAACTTTATAACTATGATGATATGATTTATAGTCTCTTTATGGTTTTCAAATTTGAGACTGCTACATACCAATGAGATGTGACTAGCCTGCTTAAACTCTTCAAGCTCTGAAAACTAATAATTCAAATAGTAGATGCCAGGTTCTCTTATGAGTATATGCATGAGAGTAGACTGTATGGTATGCAAGTATTGAAACAGAAATAGAGACTTGGAGGATTAAGCAATAGTTGGGGCAGATCAGACTTCATTGCTTGTGAGATTGTCAAGTGATATTGGGGAGAGTGGAGAACTAAGTGAATGGATGTAGTAGTGGAGTGGTACTTGGTTTGAGGTGATTCAGTGGGAGATGTAATGGTAAGAACGTTTGGTTAAAGAATTTAGTAAGTGATTTTTTGTGCATGGAATAAGCTAAAAAGCCTACTTATTTGAGAGGTATTTTCAGTAAACGTGAGCTAGTTTTGCCAATGGAGAAAATTTAAAGTCAACTGATACCATGGCAACAAATGGCATTTATTTAGACCAATAACATGGTGGCATGTGGTGTGTGATTGAAAACAGTAGGATCTGGTGGCATGTATCATGGATGAATCATGGTTGGGATTTGAGCCTCCTTAAGCAAAGTTATTAGGTGCAGGCCTTCTAATCCTGGCTGCTGTTAAGATATAACCAGATATTTCTGCTTTGTCTGTTGTCAATGTTTAAGATCAATTGTGTATTAGCAGGAAATTTAGAACATGGTCTTTTGAAATAAACCAGCATGAATGTTGTTGTGCAATGCAACTGTATTGTGATAGATATCTCTTTTGATCAAATTGGAGATGAAGAATACTTTTAGAAGATGAAAATCAGTGTACTTTGACCTTATTGTGCTGGATGATTAGCCTCACTTTATTGAGGACCTTTCTTGATCTCTACTAAATCCCTGTATTGCAAACTTCAAGAATTAGCCATCTCCTACCTGAGGTCCTTATTTTCAGATATTAGTCAAATTGTGGGATGTTAGGAGTATATTATAGATTTCCTGTAAATTTCCACCAAAAAATCTTATATGATTTCATATTCAACGCTGCCAACATTTGTTATTGAATTTGTTGAGCTTTTTATCAATACAGCTTTTTAAAAGATTGGAATTCATAAACAATAAGCATGGTATTACAAAATGCCAAGATTTTAGAAGCATGGCATCTAAGTGAAATACAACTTTCTCTCGGCTTTAAACTTGATATCGTATGTATTTTAGAATGGAGATGGAATTGAAATGTGTCATTGTTGTAGTTCTCCCAAGAGTACTGATTTTTCCTTCTGGTGGAAATATTGGACTTTTCAAAAATCCAAATATTGATGAAATAATTTGATTATGCAATTTACCTACTCAATATCAGAGTTCATTGTTCAAGTTACCTTGAGCCTTGAAGGGAAGAATGAAACAACATTATAATTTGGCATAAATTTCAAGCTTGTCATGAGATGTTGAAACTCTCATATAGTATCAGTAATGTTATTTAAACACAAGTTGGTGTTGAAGCAATGCTTGCATCCTCAGAGCAATTAAAGTGATTGTCATGCCTTGCATTTTCAGAACTTCCTCAACTAAGAAGTACAACATCAATGGAACTTGGTTGTGATGCCCGAGGTCATTCTCGTGCTGGAAATGATACTGTATCATGGTATTGTGTTATTCTAGCCGGAAGGCTCAGCCCAGAACTTAACAAGATGCGTGAAGTAAGCATTTTTCACTTGAACTTTTTTGTGTTCAAGCTGTAATTGTTTTCTGCAAACTTAGTCTGCACATTACTGTTTTAATCAGCTGGCAGTAGAACTAGGAATCAATGCAGCTAAAAAAGGATTGTAAAGTTTTTAACTGCCATCCTACGATTCAGATGAAATTTCTTATGGATTTTCATATCTATTCCTCTATTTGTCTCCAAGTTTATTTATAATATCAAAACTTTTGTAACATTCTGAATCAATCCTAAGTCCTTGACCTAGTTTTTTCTTCAGCTACTGGAATGTATTTATCTTTAAATTGAAGAGCAGACACACAAATACATATCAAATAGTTCTGCAATATTTTGATCTTTTTGCTTAGTGGGTTGGTAGAGGGGAAGGGTGAGGGAACAAGAGAATAATAGAATGTGCTTGTTATATTGTTTTGTTTCCAGTACTCATTTTCTTTTGTCTAACATTCTAATATGAAAAATGTTCTCTTCATTGGAAATGCTGCAAGTTTTACTGGAAAAATAAGTTAATTAAGTAAGTTCATAGACCATGCGCAGGATTCAAGAACGATTATCAATAGATAGTGAGTTGAGTGAAGCTGACAAAGAGCAATCGTCAGTATTGGCCGATGCACTTAAAAGCAAGCGATTGACATTTGCTTGGCTTGACGGAGAAGCCCAAGAAGTGAGTTCTGCTACATAATCTTCTCTTCCAACTATGCTTTTGATTTTGCACTTAGTTCAGTTGGATGAAAGCTTGCAGTTCTGTGTAGATTTTTTTTCCCTTAAAGCAAATGCATTAGTCATTAAATCTTGTGATTTAATACTTAGATCCTATGGAATACTTTCTGTGATCATTCTGCTCTCTTTACCTGGGCCTCAATATATTTGTCATGAGGTGGAGATTTTTTATACACCATGAGCTTTGAAAAAATAGACATTAATGTTTTAAAGGAGAAGTTGAATTAGCTGATAGCTTATCTGCTGCGAAATTTTTTACCTCATAAATTTATGTTCCTTTGACCATGTTTGGATATCTCCTTTTACTTATTTTATTATACTATTAAGACTGATTATGAGGTGGGAAAAGTCTTTGGTGGAGTCTTGTTGGGACCAGTTCAAGGCTTCTCTGCCTCTTCCAAACCATGTTATGCAGCTTAACAAAAACCTAATCTACTACACACCCATTATCCATGAGGAAACCTCCCCAATATCACTTTAAATCATGAACTTTCTCATGAAAAAGAGAAAAGAGACTACATTTCGTGTGCAAGCTAAGTCAACAGACAAGTTATGGCCCTTGTTGTGGTGTTGAACTATCCTGCTTCCAGCAAGTAGGCATTGCTGCCCATAAAGGGATGTAGGCTCCCACGAACTCACTTTATACCACTGTATAAACCATGGGTGCTATGTGATGGAATAAATAAACTTTGCAGGGCTGGGTTATGGGGGACACAATTCTGCTTTTGCATTGGTATAGGATGCCTTTACTGGAGGCTGTATGTGCTGCAGAGCAGTGCAGTGGAAATCTGCGCCATGGGTTCTATGTGATGGAATAAATAGCTCTGCTGGGCTGGGTTATGGGGTACACAATTCTGCTTCTGCATTGGTATAGGGTGCCTTTACTGGAGGCAGTATGTGCTGCAAAGTAGTGCAGTGGAAATCTGCTCCACCATCCTCCTTTCCGTGCCTGAATAATTTCCATTTTTGTATTTACTTGTGTGGTTGAGTGAAAGAAAGGTGAAGGAAATAGAAATGGTGATTCTAAGAGGATAACATGCTTGGCGGTTTTTTTCCTGTTATTTTGTTTTCATTGTTTAGACAGAAAGTTATAGTGAAATCCAATCGTTTCAAAAATTTCTCCTCTCCTGCCATTTATTTCCTACTGAACACGACAGTTGGTCTCTACTCAATCCTTCTACCCATTGTCCTTCCTGACACACCCCTTCAACTAGAGTTTAAGTTCCTTTGGATTCAGGTATGTTCTCAGTGGAGCATTTCTATCATGCTTCCATGATGCAGGCAACAAAAGGATTAGATATTATGTGTGTATTCGATTCTAGATGTCTAGGAGAGTTTTGTAATTATCAAATTTGCAGTGCCATTTCTGTAATTTTAATATTTTCTGGAAATTTATAGGTCTGGGATGATATTTTAGTAGTCAGAATATTAAGTTTTCTTGTTTAGGTGTTTCTTATTCCACATAAGAATAATAGCCATTCCTTATTTAAGAGTCTAAGGTCATGTTGGATTAGGAGTACAACTACTTGAAAATGTTGAATCTTTAAATATTCATGCTTGCTTTTATGTGCTTTATTTAGAGTGCAATATTTTTCAGTGAATTCAAGCTATATGCTCTGTGATTGTGTTTTTCAATCTCTTTAGTGCGACTCCTGAGAACCCAAGCTAAGGTTTTTCCCTTTCTGGGTGTGACTACTATGTATCTTTCCTTGCATTCTTCGTCAAATTCCAGGAAAGCAAACAACATTAACCCAGGCTTAAACATTCTCCAATAATCTTTAGATGACCTCACAAACATACTAAACCAACCTACAGCAATTACCCATCAAAATTTCAACCTAAAATCCTTAAAAATAACATTCATGTATTGTCACAGCCAAAATCCAGCTTCAATCCATCATTAATTCATCATAGCTTGGCCTATCGTATGATTTTAGCTTGAACTTGGGCAAGGGAAGCTAAGATCATTTATAGTCCAATGCATTGACTGATTTGGTACTACTGTATCTTTTGTGTGATCATCAATACCCGTAAACATTTTGGAGACATGCCTTTCATGAAGTGACTGCTCTATTGTGGTTGTGAATGTTAAGCCAAGCATAGTTCAAAGTAGCTTGATCATGCGTTTTCCAGCCTTTTTAGGACAGAGTCCTAGTATCAAAAAGCATGGTCCTGAACATATGGAAGTCTGTCAAAGTATTGCACATAGATTCTTAGACAATATGTATAGCTACCATTATTTTATTAGAAGTTTTGACCAGAGTTTGTCATATACAGCATGTAATGTTGTATTCTTTGTTTTATCTTTGGAGATACATTTCAAAGATAGATGTATTACAAGTGGCACAAGTGCCCTTTAATAGAGATGATTCTTCCTTGTAAAAATAATCTTATCATGTACGTATATTTTTTATCAGAGATTCAAGGATTGCATAAATATTAATAATCAAAAACTACTTGTACAAGAAGTTAATATTTTCCGTATTCTTGTGCTCCAAATCACTAACTTTACCTACTTTCATCCAGAAATATTGTTCCTACTACCTTCATTCAGAAACCGTATATGATACTTGTGGACCAAGGAGGGATTTGAATGATGTACCTAAGTTATTTATTGTGCGCTATAAAAGGAATGCTTCTGAGAATGATGTAAAGGTTGAGACAAAGCCAAAGAATATTTTTAATATGTTTGAAGATGAGAATGCAGATACTGCATCACAACTTGTTGCCAGATACAATGGCTCGGATGAAACTCCACAGGTATGGCACTTCTATATTGGATTGCTGGCTACTTTCATTACTTCTGTAGTTCAATATTTTGATCTTTGGAAAAAACCCTCAGTTTAGAAGTTAAGCCCATGTATTTGCTCCAAGAGTTCTTTGCACATGTATCTAATTTGGTCTTTTGCATCCAGAATGTGTCTAAGGTGAATCAGTTGATCCTTTAAGACATTTTAAGGTACCATTGGGTGTGTAATGATGAGGCATTGTTTATTTTTTAGGTTAGTACCAAAATAACCTTGTAAAAGAATTTATATCCAAAAAAACCCATCAATTTATTGTTGTATCTATAAAACCCCAAATAAAAATTTGTTATTGTATTGTTCTTCTTTTCAATCTCTCTCCTTACCATCCTTTCTGCTCCCCCAGAACTTACCCTCTGTCTTCAACTTGCTCCTAAAAATCCTTTCAAAATTGTTAGTTCACTCCTTCCCTTGGTTTGGCCCGATATTTTATATTCCTGAAATCTTGTTATGCAATTGCACTTGTGGGTAATGATTATTAGTGAAAACAAGACAATAGAGAATGAGAAAAGGCTAATATGAAGTTATGGGAAAGATCAAGTAGTATTCTGCGAACGTGTGCCCCAGAATAATCTTCTAGTTACATAATGATAAAGTGTCCATATTCCTTGTAGATTTGATGAGTATTAGTGGTTCCAGTCCTGTTTTTAGTGCTCATGTTGAAACAAATATGAAGTTTTTTACTGTGGCTCCATATGGGTTAACAGGTATGGTTCCAATCTAGTTACCACCAACTCCTATCCTGTGACCAACTGTGACCTCGCCAATGAGGAGATGATCTCTCTCATAATTTCTCGTTTGTTGTTTTGAATTGAAATTTGAATCTTGATGAAATAGTCGTTGAGTTACATAACTGGATTTTTTTGCTAGGCTAATCACATGATTTATAAATACATGTTAAATATATTTGAGTTATACAACAAAATTTACACAAGTGGATTTTTTGGTAGATTTATCTTTTGATTTTTGCATCTGTGATTTGGGTGGTCTTCAGTCTTGGAATGGAAGGAGGAGAGAGAGAGGGAGGCAGGGGAGATTGTTCTGATAAATTTTGTTGCTATTGTCCACCTTAGAAGTGCATGGTGCAAAGTGACTTTTAAAGACAGACTGGGGCTTGATTTTTTATCATATACTTTATTGTTTCTGTCAGTTTTATTCAGGAAAGTCCCAAATCGCAGGAAATTATTGCATAGACTCACCTTTCCCATTTGTTTCTCTGTTTTTATTTTATTTTATTTTTTTTTTCGGCACAGATCATGCGATGGATGTCTGAAACAATCAGGGACGGTGACACCAGGAATCTACCCTTCTATGTAAGCCACATAATTTTTGGCCTTGGCCAACTCTGAAAAGAAGCCTTATTTGTGGCATTCACTTCAAAGTGGGGTTCTCCATTATGAAGTGGAGTTGTAAATTACATATCTATTGTGAAACATACACTGGTTTAGTGGTATGGATTAGCCTGGTGCCTGTTAACCTAGCTGGTAAAGTTAATATATCACTGTCAGAAACCAAACAATGAATCTGCCCTCCAACGGGAGAGTTGACCCCTTGCTGAGTGGCATGTAATAATAATACTTATTGTTATTATTTTGGATATGCAACCAATGTTTCATGGAGCCTCTTCATGGTTTAGTGGTGATATTTGGATGTGAAAAGTTTTTTGGAACATTAATAGATGCTTCTCTTTAAAACATTCCATTCAATTTCTCATAGTTATCTATTTGCAATGCAGAGATCAAAAACTCCCGATCTTGTTCCTGAGGATTCAGAGCCTATCTGGTCAAGAGGTGCTCAAAGCATCTTTTCTAAAGGCATAGGAATCAAGCAGAGGATCTACAACAACATTAACAGAATTTATGATTACCTAGGAGATCCAAGAATTGGCCCAATATTACTTTTGGGAGCTTTAATTTCTTCCGGTACCATATGGCTGATCAGGAGCCAATCAACTCATCCTAGTCACGCAAGTCAGCTAAGTAAGTCAAATACCAAGGTAAGTGATGACATTTAAAGTGCATGTATATGAATGCAAGTCAGCTTTTGTGTGTCTTTATCCATGACATATGCAATCACAAGTAGGTGCATGGAATGTTTAGGTATGGCTTGGGCCAAGATGGGTAAGGGGACCGTTAGCCTCTTGACTCTTTAGCCCCACACATTTTTTAAATGGGTAACCATATCCCTAGCTCCGCTCATTAATGTTCCTTTTTGGTGTCATCACTCACCAATTAACCTAGCATTACAATAATCCATTACTATATATAAAAACACTGGTCCTTTAAAAACTTCTGATTGAATATAATGACACTTTAATTTTTAACTGCTGTTATATCCTCAATTTTTGTTCCTTTGAGAATGATGGATATTCCTTTAATAGTTAACTATCACCTGCATATTCTTTATTACTTACTCCATGGATGTTGGTACTATATTGGAAAAGCATAGCTATCCAGCATTCGTTCCGGCATATATATACTAATAAAAGTCATGGAGAGTTGGAGGGAAAGTTTCCAACCTAAATATTCTATATAGATTGACCATTTTTCACTTCAATGTTATTCTCGCTCATTGACTTTTTTTATCTTAACCATTTTATTTCACATTTACTAGTACACAATAATTCTACCATTTTGAAGATTTGTTGAAACTGTTTGATAAATTTAAGTCACCTTACTTCACCCAAACTACAATTTAATAATCAATCAAGATACTATCTTATTCTATTAGTCGTGTTGTCCTTTCATATGCGATGATTCTAGCTTATGAGAAAGAAAAGCTAAAACCAATTTTCTGTCTTACAAACGTACTTTTCCACACAATTACACATTACATGAGTGCAACTCATTTTGAAGGAACTTGTCTCAAATTAAATTTCATTGGTTATTGGTTAGAGAATGTTGTGATTAATAATCATAATCCCCTTTTATTTAGTTTGTTTTATTTTTAAGAATTTTAAGGTTTGGATGATATTATTCTCTGTTCTATATATATATATATATATTGTTAGTTCAATTCTTTTTTATAGTTCTACTTTCTTAAAAGAATTACAAGTTGAAAACACAAAAAATTCACATGTAATGTACTCTTATATTTGTATTTTTGATAATTAATAATTTTTTTAAATGGCATGAAATGTGTAAAAGATAGTATTGCAAACTGCAATAAATATTAAAGTTTTGAAATGATAATTTGAATTTGATGGAAGGAGGCAATAATCAGTCTATTTGATTGCTAAGTGACCATATTATGCCTGTTTATCAGATAAATCATGATTAAAGTGCAGGACACCTTTTTTTTTTTCATTGGTTTGATTTTTTCATTGATTTCTAAATTAATTATTTTGCACTTATAGAGAATAGAAAAGGACTGAAAAATTGTGAAAGATGGTATTTGTGTGAAGATAAGAAGTATTTCTTCTTAGGAAAGAAACAAGAAAAAAAGTGCTAATAAATAGAAAAACCTTATACAACGTTAGAAACTCGTGAAAATTAAGTAATCCAATGTTGTAAAAGTGAAATTTGCTTCATTAAAGATAATTATTATTAAAGTAGCAGAATATGGATAAAATGAAAGTGTTATGAAGTTAAGTGGATATGAAATAATTCAATTCAAAACTTTTTTCTATGTTCTTATGTTGAGGATGGAACATTTCAACCTTCCTAGCCACATAAGCTATGAGCTCTTGATGTCATTCATGAGTATTTATTTCATTGAATTGAATTGCTAATTTTTTTAAATGTAATTAAAAAAAAAAATGATATACTTGTGAAGCATATGCCATGCAATTGTATAAAAGTTTTCTACAATCATCTGTTTAATAACCCTTTGACCAAATTTTAACTTAGTTGCCACGCTTAACCGTGTTCATTGAAGTTTTGTTAAATATTTTATCAGCTTGCTTTAATCAGTTTTTGATCTCTCTACTGCCACCAACGAACAGTCACCATTATTGTTATTTCTAACATTTCAACCATTTGCACCACTATCAACGCTGCTACCTTAAGAATTATTCTCCACCAAAATATCATTCCGACCCTAACGTAATTTCAAATAAAAGCCGTTATATAATGGTTTTGGGCATATGCCTGTTACTGTTATGTGTTGTTATAAAGAGAAAAATGGCGTTTCACACAAATAACGGTCATTATTTACATTTTTTTATTCTTTATATTCTATTGTTGTTTGTGTGATGTTAAACTATTAGAAGTATTATTAACTTTCTTTTATAATAAATTTAACTATTGTTGTATGGTATTGAACTATTAGAAATGTTATTATTATGCTTAATTAATAAAACCAGTCAAAAATATGCAGATTAAAATAAATTTATTAATAGCTACTAGTCTATTAATGCTTTTACAACATCAATTGCCATTACTGTTATTATATTACTTTGATAATCTGCGATTTGTAATCGTGATCGTGATTGTTTTTACAATTGGGTCTGTAATTCAAAACTATACACCACAATGCCACCACCGTACTAGTGTCAACTTTTGCAATCATGCTACTACTATCACCCACCGCCACATCACAACCACCAGTACTTGTCTCCATCAAGGCCCGACACTATTCTCCCCAACTGTGACTACCACTACTATTGCTGCCATGTACCTTTTCTACCATTATCACTGTCTCCAACAATATATTTTACAATACCCAAGTTGTAACTACTTGAATAACTAGTGGCATCAGCCACTTCTCAACACATTATGGTTGAACCCTGGAATGATGATGTGTAATGAAGTGTTGCCACTAGTTCGCTTATGTAGTTATAGCTTGAGTATTTTATAAATTTTCCTTACAACACCACCTCCTCCACTAGCACTATTATGCTACTAGCATCACCATTTAAAACCAACTTTCATCATTGGTAATGGTATTTGCGGTAGTGCTGGTGGAGATGGAAGTGGCAGCGAAGGGAGTTGTGGGGGGCAGTGGCAATGCGTGGTGCGATGGGAAGTAAGTAGTTTTTGTCTGGTGGTCAAACATAGTCGAACATTGTTAAAGTTGGACTAATTGGTTAAAATTATGATAGTCAAGTAAGTTCTAACTTTGTCATGTCGATGTTTGGTCACATTGGATATATGAGTGCAACTGCTGATAGAAACTCTTAATATTGCAGTTGGTATATGAGGGGGTTAATCGGCAGCACAACCCATTTAAACCTTATAATTTTGTCAGTATAACATGACCCATTTATACAGCATTATTTTGTAGGTTACCCTTTTATAAACCATTATTGTATATTATAACCTATCCATTCATGACTTCTACCAACTTACTGTACATTGTTTAGATATGGATGACTTTTGGACCCTTAAACACCATGCACAACAAGAAAGAGGGTGAAATGAAATAACTCATGTTTGTTTGTGTACCATGTCATAGAATATGTAGAGTGATAGTTATCTCAAGCAATTGTTGAGCAAGTTGCAATAATCTTCATTCTGCGTGTTATTGTTAATCCTTGAAAGTTATCTACAAATTGAACTCAAAACTGTTTTCATTGTTGTAATTCTTTTATCTTTTTCTTGGTTTATTCTTCAACTATCCATTTAGTTGTTTCAACCCAAGCGATACATATGTTGTTTGTCTATACTTCACCCTTATATTGTAGTTCTCTGGTCCTTGATTCTATTGTCCAATCTTTCTGTCTAAAGTACTTTGATAAAGTCCTTGATGTGTATGTTTCCAGGATGAAACTAGAGCAAGGCGGAGAGATAGAGAAAAACACACAGCAAAGAAAGATCGACCTCCTTCCATAACTGATAGTGAACCAAAAGGTGCGTACCAGATGCCGCTGTCAGATTCTGAATCTGAGTAGTAATCACTGCAATAGAGACAAGTTCCACTCATGGGTTTTTAGCTGAAGTCAAAAGTAGCTGTTTTAGGAAATGAAATATGATTTTTGTTCACATAATGGCAAGTTTAAATGGTTATGATTTCCTAATCAGAACTACCCCTTCCCCCAACATAGCATCGATGAAATAAATGCGGTAACATGCCATTTGATCACTGTAACAAGCCTAGTAGTGTATTAACTTGATGATTTGTTGATTACTGAAGAGCTAGTTCACATTGGTTCATCGATTTTACGGAACAAGATTTCCAACTTTCATATGGATTGAGATAGTCAGGGGGATAAACTGACTAATTAAGAATCTTCTGAATGTTGAAGATTGATGACTGGATGGGGTGAATTTGAGTCTCCAATCACTTTCTATGCGATGATGATTGATGGAGATTTGGTTTGATAATTCACTGGTTCCTGTCCAGAATATCAGTGATCATTGCTAGTCCTTTATGATTAATTTATCATCGTTCCTTTTTCGGCTTAGCATGTGTTCTTTTTATTTATTTATTTGTAATTACTAGTATAGTACGCATGGCAACAAGCCTATGAAATATATTTAATTGATTTACAAAATCTATTTTAATATTTTAATTAAATTTGAAAATCTAACCGGATGAAGTGAAAAATAATAATAATAATAATAATTATGGGATATTTTTTGGTTTAATATGTATCATGTAGTATTTAATATCATGTGTGTTTTATATTTGAGTTTAAATTTATCCAATGAATATGTTTGATTTTGATAAATTAATATCATGTGTATTTTATATTTGAGTATAAATTTATGCAATGAATATGTTTGGCTTTGATAAAGGCTAAATGGATCAAATCACTTTTAAATTTAGTTAATTTGAAAATCAATTTTTGAATTTTTGATTTAGGATTTGACGTCCTTTGAATACATATATGCTCGGGTTCATTAGCCTCTTCAAGTAAGTCATTTACCTAGTGACTACTGTTGACAAGGGTAAATTCCCATTACTGCTTTCAGTTATCGATTGACTAGTTCTATTTAGGCTCTAAGCCCTTATTCTTTCAAAATGGACATATTATGTTGGGTTGATTAGGTCAATCAGGTTAATCCCGAAAAGCTGACGAGAGTTCTTGCAGCTGCTACTCTTTACATGTACATATATATTGAGATTTAGTCCATTCTATGATTTCTAGCTATCACTCCCTTTTTAAAATTTAATTCTTGGTACTTTGAGTTGATGTTTTGTCACACATGTTGGAAAAAAAAATTAATATATTTTTTTAGAAAAATCTCAAAAATTTTCAAGGTGAAACATATATATATATATAACATAAAAAATGTAGAAAATTAGAGAAAATAGAAAATAATTTAGAATGGTTTAAAATTTTTTGGAGAATCTCATGATTTTTTCTAATTGATTTTTTATGATGAGACTCTTTATTTTTTTTAGTTTTTATTCACACACTCAAAACTCCTAACGAACTAGTGTGTTAAGATTTAAACCCGTGACTTCTTCTTATAAGAAACCACTATCACTAGGTTATAAGCTTTTCGGTAACGAGACTCTTTATGTGATCATTGTTTTTAACAAAAATCTAAAGGATGGACTAAATTCAAAAAAAAAAAAAAAAAAATCAAGGAAGGTCAAGCTTGTATCGAAGCTAAATGAAAAAACTAATTTTTAAGAAAACTAAAGTTCGGGACGAAAGGAAAACCGACATTGAAAGGATGCTAGATCAATTTATATTAAAATGGCACTTAATATTAGTTAAAAATTTTATTTCAAAAAAATCAAAAATTAACCATTAATTATTGAGAAAATTTTTGTTTTGAACAAATAATAAATAATTAAAATTAAAAGGGCAAGAAAAAGAAATAGAAAATAGAAAAAAAAAACAAAAGGAAAGAAAATAAGTTGGGTTGGGCCATGTGTAACGCTCATAACATGGGTCCGGAGACAACTAGGCTCGTGCATTTGACCTCGCGATCCAAACACTTAAAAGAAAAAAAACAAAACAAAAATGGATGATGTGTCATACTTCCTACGATCAAGTGTTGTCGAAAAACTGGAGACCACCGGTTTTGGCCTTCCAAACCTAATTTTTAGACTATTTTTACTTCCAAACACTTTGGAATCATCCCAATAACATTTAAAAACTATTTTTGAACCTTAAAACATATTTTAATTAACCGTATAAAAAAAAATTCTATCTCCTCCCTTTTCTCTCCTCGATTCTCTCTCATCTCTCTCCTTTTAAGGATGTTTTTTTAGTATGGCATGGGTTACTTTTACTGTCGTAGCGCCTAGTACTCAAACATTGGCTTGAGACATTTTCTTTAACACAATAAAGTTTAAGGACCATTCCATACAAATCAAGGACTAAAATGGATTCATATTTGTAAAAGCCAAACATTAGGGACTAAAATAAACTTATATTTAAAAAAATCATTTTTTTTTTGTCAAAAAAATGTTGTTTTGAGCTATGATCGATTTACTGTAGCATAGCAAAAGTGAAAACTCATATCCTCTTAGGTTCTTTATAATTTTAGTTTTTTTGTTTTAAATATTAAGGAAAATGACATAGTCTATACTTATATAATGGAATTAGTGTTCTATTTATCTTTATATCCTTAATTAAGTTAATTGTATCTCTGTGAAATAATTGAGTTTTTAATCTTTTCTTCTAATGATATTTTCCTACCAAACCATCAAAATCAATCACATGATAGATAAAAGAATTAATATTATATCAAAAACGACTATGAGATAAAAACATTTATTCCAAGTTATCTTTACATTTTAGACTCAGTTTCTAATATATCCTTAAAACTCTTATTGCTCTTAATTTTTCCTTGTATTTTATATCATTATTCAATATATCTTTCTAGTATATATTTCCATGTAAACTTACAAAAATAAGAAACTTGTAATTTGAGTGCTTGACTTTTGATTCTTATTCTGAATGAGTGCCTAACCTTTTATTCTATTTATTTTGTGTTGAGTCCTTTTTTTTTTTTTTCATTTTTTTATTTGTCTTCCCTCCAACAACCGACTTTGAAAATGTTGACATGGTTGGAATCAACCAACGCACAGTAGTCTCTAACTAACATGTAGTAAAATTGGATCCCACTTGTATTTATTGAGAAAAGAATAAAACAAAAAAAATACAATTTTTTTAAGAGAAAACAGGTTATAGAAATTGAATAAATAAATAAATAAATAAATAAAAGAATAAGTAAATCAAAACAGTAAAAAATTCAAAAAATAAAAATAGTTTTCCCTCTAATTCAAGTTTTTATTTTCAAATTTTTTGTTGTTTTGATTTTTTTTTTAATTTATAGATTCTATTTTCCTTTATAAACTTTTTTTTTTAGAATTAACACAATATGTTCTTGTATTTTAAGTCTAGTCTCTAATCAATCTTTATAAGTTTAATTTCTTCCAATATATCCTCATGGTCTTGTTCATTCTCCAATCTATCTTTGTAGTAGATATTTTCATACAAATAGATGAAAATACCCTCATGTGAGAAATTCAAATTTGACATAATTTATTAAAAAAAGAACAATGAAAAAAAAATCAATTTTAACATCATATAACAATTCTTGTTTTTTTTTTTTTCAAAGTTATTTTTAATAAATTAGATGGGGATTTGGATTTTTTAAGTGAGAATATTTTTGTGAGTTTGCATGGAAATATCCATTAAAAGGATAGATTGAAGAATAAACTAAAATATAAAAATATAATAGAAGTAATTAAACTTGTAAGCACAGATTGGAGACTGACTTAAAAGAATATATTGAGCTAATTTTCCTATTTTTTAATATATATTTTCTCAATAAATCTTAGTAGGATCCTTTTTTTTTTCTATGTATTAGTTGATTTTAGCCATGTCAGTATTTTCAAATTTTAAACGAGGAGGGAACTCAAAAAAAAAAAAAAATCAAAAATCAAAAGGTGGTCACATAAATAGATAGAATAAAAAGTTAGGCACTATAAAAAAATAAAATAAAAGGTTGGACAACTCAAATTGTGGTTTTTTCTAACAAAAATACTCTTAATTAAAAAACTCAAACTCCACCTAATTTATTAAATATAAATAAATTTGAAACGAAAACAAATTGTCATGTGCTGTTAAAAATCTATTCTTTTTCATGGTTATTGATAAATTCGGATAGGTTTGAGTTTCTCATGAGTAAATTATATATTAGTCCCTCTAGTTTTCAAAAGTAATTAAATAGTTTTTCTTGTTTCAAAAACTAATTAATTAGTTTTTGATTTGTGTCGACCATGATTTATTTTATTTTATTTTACTTTTTTTTTCTAAAAAATAACTTATTTTTTTGTCAATTATTCTATATTTTTACTTCTTTTTTTCTTTTTTATATATTTTTTAAAATAAAATAAATTGAAAAAGAACCAAAAGTATCAAGTTAAAATAGTTTTAAAAACATAAGGAGTTAACAATTACTTTTTAAAACTAGAAAGACTATTTAATTTATTTCGTAAAACTAGAGGGACTAATTTATAAGTAACTCGGTTTCTCACTTAAGGGTATACTCATCAATTTGGATGAGAATATCTAATCAAAGAACATAATGAAAAGTGATGCGATATTCAGATACAAATTGACAGCAATTAAACTTATTAAGGACAAATTGGAGACTAGATTTAAAATATAAGAACAAGTTGGGCTAAGCCTCTTTTTAATTTTAGGATAATTTTTTTTTATAATATTTAAGTCATGTGCATATCAATTTTGATAGTTTGATTGAAAAAATATCATCAAAAGAACAAATTGAAAATCCCCTTATTTTATAGAAATATAGTGGTTTAATTAAGAATATAAAGACATATTAGAGAATAATTCTACTACATAAAGACAAAATAGCCATTTTTTTTATAAATAATATTATGAAATTCCTTTTTTATTTTTATACTAAATATTGGTGGCCTTATTTAAAATTGGTAGATTCAATATGATGACCAATCATACCAAAAGTTTTCTAAAAAATAAATTGGTGGGTCAATTTCAATCCCATGTACGTCTAGTACAGAAAAAACCAATTTATGGCGTCCAGGTACACACTCTGTGAAAAGATTAGCATTGCGTCCATTTTTGTTTTTGTTTTTTTTTGTTAGATTTGTCTATATATAATATACATGTAGTCACAAGTATACGCAACACTGTTTATAATTAATGTTTAGGGAAACCTTTTTTTTTTAAGAAATAGACATCTAATAATTATAAACAATATTGTCATGGAATTGAATGCTAACCTATCCAAAGAATAGAGAGAGAACATTTCCCATTATGAAAAACCTCGTGATATAATAAAACACAAATAATTGATAATAAATTATTGAGCTTTATGAAGTTAAATTGATATATTTTGTTTTTCTACACTAAGTAATTGATTTTAGCAATTTTGTGTATATATACTTTATTTGTTTTTTTAGTTTTTATATATGTTACCATAAGTCAAAAACAAACTTAGAAGATGGAGAAAAATATTATTAGTATATGTGCTCAAGATCCAACTTATTTGTATGGCTTGATATATTGTATTATTGCATTTTCAATATTAATAAATAAATCTTTTTATTAATTCTTGTTATTTATAATTTGATAGAATTAGATAGAAATCCATATGATATGCATTGTATTGATGATTAATCAATAGATGTGAGATAAACATCAATGTACATAAATGATATTTTTAAATGTTTCAAGTCATAACATTGTAAAGATTGGATATTGACAATATGCAATAAGATTTATGAGTGTTATGCTCTCACTATAAGATAATAACAAGAGATCTCACATCTATTGATATAGTGATACTAAAACAAGCGCAAAGGTGAATGATATTAGTGAACATATCATTGGACGTAACTTGCCATGAGAATCCATTTGGTATAGTCAATGGAAATCTCATACGAGATGGGTACAAGTAGTCCTTTTGTGTGAAGTCATCATGGTTATCTCATTTGATAATTGATGTACTTTGACATTCGTTTCAATGGGCTCGGTAAAAAGCTACATGTGGGCGATTCGTTGGGTGCATTAGAAATCTAATGGAAATAGATGGATAACTAAAATAGAACATGTCGTTTCCTATATGCTAAAGGAGTTATCGCATTGCACTTCGGAGAATGTCCGTTAAAAAATATGTGATCACATTGAAAGTATATCAATAGAGCATATTAGGTTACTTGAGAGCTAAGACATTCAAAGATCGAAGAAAACTTATGTGATTATAATCGAATAGAAAAAAAAAATCAAGTTCAAGATCACACTCGTGATAATTGGTATGAGGACTAAATTACATGAAAACCATACTCGTGAAAGGTCATTGCAAATTAAGTAATCTTTTTAGATAATTGGATAGTCATGATACCTTACTAGAAGCCAATCTTAATTTATGTATCGAGAGATAAAAAAAAGTATCTTTACTTCTCGATACATTGTCAACATATCTAAGAGCCTATTGAGTCACACATATAAGTTTAAACATTCACACAAAAAAAGAGAAGCAAAGATTTTGAAAAAAGTTTTCTATTTTGGAAATCAGTTTTCTATTTTAAAAATCAATTTCCTAAAATAAAAATCAATTTCCTATTTTAGAAATAAATTTCCTAATTTGAAAATCAGTTTCCTATTTTGAAAGCCAATTACCTATTTTAGAAATCAGTTTCTTAAAATGAAAATCATTTTCTTATTTTGAAAATTAGTGTCCTAAAATGAAAATCAATTTCCTAATTTAAGTTTGATAAACTGTAAGGATAACTTAAGAAATTATTTTCTAACATGGGCCACTCTAAAAATACTTGACTCGACTTATTTGGATGGTCCAATTTAATTATTGAGTTATTAGGTCAAAGGAGTTTGGGCCAACAAGCTTAAGAGAAAGCTCGCAAGAGATATTTTCGGTGGAGGGGTATTTTGAAAACTTAAGGCAAAAGTTCATTAAACCTAATTAGGACTTATAAGGATAAGATATGTCTTAACTCAAATTTTCTTAGATTTTTTATGTTTTATTTGTTTCTTATTTTATTTTATCTTATCTTAATTTATTTTAGAATTTACTACAAAAAAAAATTAAAAAAAGAATAAAAAATATACTAATATACAAAATACAAAAGAAGAAGAAGAAATATGTATAAAATAAAAAAAAATCATGAATTAAACCGGGGACTCGATTGCATTAAATCAAGTTTGAATTAAAAGCTAATAAGGGCTAAATTGAAAATAAATCAAGACAAAATTGAGGGCCTAATCGAAAAGAAATTAAGGATGCAATTGTAATTTAAAAAGTGTGAGGATTGTTTTGTAATTTAGTGAATTTGGAGGAAACCGAAAGCCAAAAATGGTTTTTGATTTTAGGTTGATGCATCATCGATTTGATTCTCTCGCGACATAGAATTCCTTGAATCGAAATCCACGCTGCAAGAATTGAGGAAATTTTGTTACAATCCGTACCGAAAAGGAAAGACAAACAATGAGAAGAAAACTCAAAAATCCTAAACGAAATTAGTGAGAATTAGGCTATAAATAAGGGGGAGAGGAAGTAATAAGGGAAGGGGGAAATTTTTCTATTTGAGAGGGAGAGAAAATCAATAACAAAATAGAAGTTTTTTTTTTTTATCTTTATAGTAGTTTTTTTCGGGTTTTTCTAGGCAGTGTTCTTAATTGTTCTTCATTTCTAGGTTGGGTTTCGATCCTTATAAGTTTCTTAACTTGATTTTTCGGGTTTTCGGATTTAATTTTGACTTTTTAGGTTTTCTCCCTTACAATTTTTTGGCGGTTGTTTGGTATTCTTTGTTTTTTCGAGCTTGAGTTCATCTTTTTTTGGATTTGTATTCAATGTTCCTTCTATTGCAAGACTCGATTCTTGGATTTGGGACCTTATCCAAGCATCCTAAACCAATTAAGAGTTCTCTAATCCTCCCAAAACCGTCTTGAGGCTCAATTTTCAGCCATCCCATTTTTAGAGTAATGATCATCAAATTAAGTAATTCGATCTACGTTCTTCATTTTTCTAGTTTTTCATTCTATTATTTCTATAGTTTAAATTTCTATTTGTAATTTGTTTAAGCCTTATATTTTGGCTTGATTGAGATAAAAGTATGAACATGTATAGTTAGTTAAGTCTTTTACCTAAAACAAAATTTTGATTCCCGGAAAAAGATGAGGCATAAAGAGAGAAAGTGAAGAATGCGAAGAACAAAAGAGAGAGACGAGAGAGAGTGAGAGAGAGAAAGTCAAAATTTTGTTTTGATTTAAAACCGAAAAGAAAAGCACTCGAGCTTTGTTTACGGATTTAGTCCAGCCCATGTAGGAAAAAGAGAGTGGGTTGGGCTAATCCCAACCCATATGGAGTGAAAGGTCGGGCTAAACTAGCCCAGCTCGACCCTAGCCTAGCTAAAAAAAAAAAAAAAACGGGAAACTAAGCAAAAGCTGGAGTCAATTCAGCTTCTACCAAAAATAGAAAGAAAAATAAAAAAATCAATGCATATTACAGAATGGAAACCGAAACTAGTCCAAGTTAGGTAGAAAAGAAAAAAGAAAATAAATAAGATAAATAAAAAAAGAAAAAAGAAAAAGAAAAAGGATCCTTAGCTAAAAAAAATAAAAATTAATTAAAAATTCTTAATGAAATCTCCTATTTGATAGGGATTATAGTTGATAAAAAATTTAATAAAATTCTTAGAGAAGTCTCATATCTTATAGGGATTGTCGTTAATAAAAAACACGAAAAAACTAAAATTAAAATTCGAACAATGTGTCTTATATGATAGGAATTGTTGTTAACAAAAATAAATCAAAATTAATCAAAATTCTTAACAAAGTTTCTTATTTGATAAGGACTATTGTTAGCTAAAAAAATTATCATTTAATAATCAAGATTTTTTCAAAACATCGGTTATGTCGAGACTTTAAGTGGATTTGATGTTTGAATGGACACATCTCCCGATGAAGGGGACCGACGATCATTTCAATACGATGTCATAATCAAAAATAAAAAATTTAATTTGGTTTGAAAAATTGGAGTTTAAATTGAAAATAATTTGGTATAAATAAAACACCGATAATGACGTTTATAGGTGATAAATATCTTTCGAAAGTGTAACCAACTCATTTCACGAGAATTTTTGCATTGGTGCTTATTTTTAGATTCTTAATTTCTTCAATACTAGATGGTGAATTTGAATTCAATAATAACTTACATCCCCAAAACAAACCATAAATGTGATACAAATCTTAAATTTTTTGAAAGTTTTACCCAATGTCGGGTAGCGACGAGATCAAACAAAATCACATTAGTTACAACTTCTTAACCGATAAGGAGAATTGATTGCATACGAGAGAGAGAGAGAGAGAGAGAGAGAGAGAGAGAGAAATGCTATTTGTAAAATACATAAAAGAAAAGAAATTACGTCTTTGTCCCTTAAAGCGATGAAATAAATTAAGAAATCTTGCCCCGAAAGAAAATAATTATCATTAGACAACCTTGCCTAAAATGATGAAAAAAATTAGATGATTCCGTTTAAAAATAAAAATAAAATTATCGCTAAGCAACCTTACCTAAAACAATGAATTAAATTAGGCAATCCCACCTAAAATAAAAAATTATCACTAAGCAATGATATCCAAAATAATGAACTAAATGAAATTTTATCGCTAAGCAACCGTGCCTAAAACAATGAACCAAATTAGGCAACCTTACTTAAAATGAAGAATTATCGCTAGACAATTCTACCTAAAACAATGTACAAAATAAAAAATTATTGGTAGGCAATCCTACAAAAAATAATGAATCAAATTAGGCAACCCTACCTAAAATGAAGAATTATCATAAGGCAATCCTATCTAAAATGATGAACTAAATTAGAAAACCTTACTTAAAATGAAAAATTAGTGCTAGATAACCCTACCTAAAACGATGAACAAAGTTAGCAACCTTATCTAAAATGAAAAATTATTATTAGGTACCTCTACCTAAAACTAGGCAATTCCACCTAAAATAATGAACTAAATTAGACAATCATGCCTAAAATAAAAATTATTGCTAGGCAATCTTACCTAAAACGATGAACTAAAGTAGACAATTTTGCTTAAAATGAAGAATTATCACTAAAAAATCTTGCTTAAAATGATGAACAAAGTTAGACAACTCTGCCTAAAATGAAGAATTATAGCCAAGGAACCTTCCCTAAAACAATGAACAAAGTTAGATAACTTTGCCTAAAATAAAAGATTATCGTTAGGCAACTTTATCTAAAACGATGAACAAAGTTAGACAACTTTACTTAAAATGAAAAATTATCGTTAAGCAATCCTAACAAAAAGAAGAATCAAATTAGACAACCTTACTTAAAAATGAAAAAGTATCTCTAGACAATCTTATCTAAAACTATGACATAAATTAGATAATCTTGCGTAAAATAAAAAATTATCGTTAGACAATTCCGCCTAAAATGATGAACTAAGTTAGAAATCCAAAAAAAAATATATATATTATCGTTAGACAACTCTACCGAAAATATTAAATGAAGTTGGGCAACCCTTCCTAAAATAGGTCTTAAGAATTTCTTTGAACAAACACTAAATTAAAAAACCCAAACTAAAATTTTGAACAAACACTAAATGAAAAAACCCAAACTAAAATGAAAATCAAATGATTTATAGTTCAACGGGGTTTGGACCTTTTAGCTTCTCCTTCTTTTCATCATGGATTTGATACTATGTAATTAAATGTAACACGGTATCAAAATTTTAAATTAAAATGCTATGTTGTTCAGCTCATAAATGGTTGACACTTATGGGAAGTGGGAGGATATTTCTATAAAAACTTGTGTCATTTTTACAAAATTATTGGTAATTTCAATTTAGAACTTCTCCAACCAAACGCCAAATAAAAAGACGGACTTTTAAATGAAAATCAAATGACTTAAATTTCAACGGGATTTGGACCTTTTAGCTTCTTCTCTTATTATCATGGATTTTATACTATGTAATTAAATGTAACACGGCATTAAATTTTCAAATTAAAATGATAAGTTGTTCAGTTCATGAATGATTGACACTTATGAGAATTAGGAGGATATTTCTATGAAAAAAAAAATTGTGTCAGTTTCTCAAAATTGTTGGTAATTCTAGTTTAGAACTTCTCCGAACCCAAAGTCTCCTCGCAAAAACTTCAAGCTTTAGCAACTTCTCTGTCCCAACAAATCCTTTTCGTGCAAAAGCCAAGCTGCTTCAACTGAGAATTCAGGACCCAGTAGTCTTTGAATTTTTTTCTTTTTTTAAAAATACAAAAAATGGCTATCTAATGGGCTACGTACTTTTGCGTTTGTTGCAGCCAAAGTTCAAGAACTGAGTGTTTATGAGATCAATGAGGGAGACCGTGGAAGCCCTGCTTACTTCGTTTAAGCCAGAAATCTGTTAATTCTCCTGGTGATCTTGTGTGTTTTAACAAGAAGTCCTCTCCATGATCTGAGTTTTGTTTGTTTTCCATCAAAATCTTGCATTAACTTTGGAGTGCTAGCTATTTGTGTGAATTTGTTTTCTTGGAAGATATTTTTTCTGCAAATTACTATAGTTTCCAGGAAGTTTTTCTCAACTTTCAACTTTTGGTGTACATTTTTGCTTCAACTTCACTAAAAGCAAAGCAATCCTCACTGCCAAAATAAATGGCAGTTGTATAAAATTCGAAAATATTTTCTTTGAAAAAAAAGTTTTTATAAGTTAAAAAATCAATAACAATTTTAATTATTATTATTATTATTATTATTTTGTGATAGCTACTTATTTGAGGTGAAGGGTTAAATGACGGTCATCCATTAAGATCTAATGAATTAACCATATTATGATCCATGCCTTAATACAATAATTTTATTTATTAATTAAGGGAAAAGCACATTAAATTTTTTAATGGTATTTACCAACTTAACACCAAAACATATTACATCAGTTGAGAAGGGAGTAAGTTATAAATTAGTGCTTCTATTTTTTAAAAATGAATTAATTAGTTTTTTTCTATTTCAAAAATTAATTAATGAGTCTCTTTTCCGACATTGATTATATTAAATTTAATATTATTTTATTTCAAAAGAATATTATTTTTCTCATAAATTCTTTCATGCTTAGGATTTATTATTTTCCTTTTTTTATTTTTTTAAAACTAAAAATCAAAATAAATTGAAAATGATTAAATTATAAAAAAATTTTAAATATAGAGACTAAATAAATAGTTTTTGAAATAAAATAAACTAATTATTTTGTTTTTTGAAACTGAAGAGACTAAATTGTAATTTAGTCCTTGAGAAAGGTAAGGGTAGCTTATGATGACCAAAGCAAAAAATAAAAATATATGGTTGTCGTAGCATTGTTTATGGTAATAATTTGTTGTTTCTCATAATTACAGCTTTATACGGGAGACCTACAGAACCGGATAGGAATATCTGGAGGAATACGTGTGCTGATACAAAACAAACCGGAAAAGAAAGGTGACCGGTATGAGGCAATCTACAGCTTCTACTTTGGTGACTACGGTCACATTTCAGTGCAGGGATCTTACTTCACCTACGAGGACACGTATCTTGCTGTGACTGGTGGGTCAGGTAAGGGGCGTACGGTCAGCTTAAGCTGAAAAACACTCTGTTCCCTCTCAAGCTATTTGACACATTTTATTTGAAGGGTCTTAAGAAGGATTTGCCTGATGAGCAGCTTGGGAAGGCTGTCGAGCCTAACAATGCAGTCGAGCCGAGCGCTGAGGCTAAGGCTTGTGAGCCAAATGCTGTTATTGCTAATTATACTGATTAATTATGTATTGATTGTGATTAATCAATAGTTGTTTTGATAATGGAATTTTTGAAGAGTAATAAATAAGGCTAAGTGGTGTTTGTTGCTACTTTTTATTTTTCTATATTGTTTGAGTTGAATGGTTTATGGATTACAATGGGTTGGTTTTTGGTAATTTATTTATTTTTAATGCTTTTTAGATAATTTTAATTTCATGGAGGATGATAATTGTCGTTATGTGACGTTCGTGGGACTTTTAAATATTTATTATGATTATTTTATTGAAAATTTTATTTATTTATGGATATGAGTTAATTTTGGAGTCGCCTTCTAGTATTAAAAATAACTAAAAATTTAAAATAAGAACTCATTTATAGATTTTATGATAAGGAGTTTTTTTTACTTTTGGGAAGATATCGGGACCCAAAAGCTTCATTTCTCACTACAAGAAAGCCGGAGATTTGCGAGGGGCATTTAGCGACGGTCTACAAACCGTCGCTAATTAACAAAATTTGCAACGAGTATGAAGAAATTTTGCAAGGGACTAAAAAGAATAATTTTGGAGACTCGTTTTTCCTAATGATTTATGTAAACCGTCGTTAAAGGAAAAAATCTAAGCAACTTAGCGATGGTTTTTTATCCAAACACCGTTGCAAAGTTTCAAATTTAAAATCCACCTGGTTGGGGGGAAAACGACTATTTTCAGTCGTTAGCGATGATTTTAGCGACGGACTTCGATCCGTCGCTAAAATTGAAATCCTTAAAAACCCAACTACTCGCATTTTTCCCTCAAATTTTCTCTTCTTCTTCTCTTCTTCTCCTCCACCTTTCAAGCATCGATTTGCCTAAAATTTCCATCAAATCTTCCCTCTCTCGCTTCATTTTGCTTCCAATCTCCTCCTCTCTCTCCTCCTTCCCTTCCTCCCCTCCATTTCTCCCATTTCTCTCTCATTTTTCCTTCTTTTTTCTCTCTTTCTTCCCTCGTTCTTAAAGCTTCGCAATTGCGGCCAAACCACCTCCCTCGAAGCTCCTCTACCAGCACTGCCCCCTATCCTACTTGTATAGGTGAAAGGTCCTCTCTCATCTAATCCCTCAATTAATTTTTTTATTTTTTTCATTTTTTCATAATTAGATGTTAATTTATTTTGTTAATTTAATTGTTAATGTCAATGATAATTATGTTATTGGTTAATTGTTTAATTTTTATTGTTAATTTAGTTAATTTAATGTTAATTGTTAATTGTGTTATTGTTATTGGTAATTGTTAATTTAGCTAATTTATTTGTAATTCTTAATTTAATTAGTTTAATTGTTAAATAAATGTAATTGTTATGAATTTGTGTTAATTGTGTTAGTTTAATTGTTAATTTAATTGTTTAAAAAATTTGATGATTATTATTTTTTGTTGTTAATTTAATTGTTATTTTTATTAGTTTAATTGTTAATTTGTAAGCTTAATTGGTAATTTTTAATTGTTAATTAAGTAAGTTTATTCTTAAATATTGTTAATTATTAATTTAGTTAGTTTAATTTCTGGTTTTTTGGAATATTAATTAATTTAAACAATTGATAATATTTTTTTAGAAAATTTTAGCAATTAAAAAATATTAATTTTCGAAATTATATTTGGTAATTGAAAAATTAATTAGTAATTAAGTTTGTTTAATTAGTTGTTGATTAAGTGAATGAGTTAAAGTAATTACAAAATTAAGTAGTTATTACAAATTTTAATTATTTGTAAATTATATTTAGTTATAAAAAAATTAATTAGTTATTAAGTTTATTTAGTTGTTGATTAGATTAAAAAAAGGAGTTAAGTAGTTACAAAATTAATTAGTGATTAAAAAATTAAAATTTTATTGAAATCTAATTTAGTATTTAAAAGATTAATTAGTAATTAAGTTTATTTAGGTAATTTAGTTAATAATTTAGTAAATAACTTGGTAATTAATTTAGTTAATAAGTCAATAATATATTTTGATACATTAGTTTTTGATTAAGTGAAGGGGTTAAGTCATTACAAAATTAAGTAGTTATTACAAATTTTAATTATTTGTAAATTATATTTAGTTATAAAAAAATTAATTAGTTATTAAGTTTATTTAGTTGTTGATTAGATTAAAAAAAGGAGTTAAGTAGTTACAAAATTAATTAGTGATTAAAAAATTAAATTTTTATCGAAATCTAATTTAGTATTTAAAAAATTAATTAGTAATTAAGTGTATTTAGTTAATTTAGTTAATAATTTATTAAATGACTTGGTAAATAATGTAGTTAATAACTCGATAATATATTTCGATAAATTAGTTTTTGATTAAGTGAAGGAGCTAAGTAATTACAAATTTTAATTATTTGTAAATAATATTTAGTTATAAAAATATTAATTAGTTGTTAAGTTTATTTAGTTGTTGATTAGATTAAAAAAGGAGTTAAGTAGTTACAAAATTAATTAGTTATTAAAAAATTAATTTTTTATCGAAATCTAATTTAGTATTTTAAAAATTAATAATTAATTAATTTTATTTAGCTAATTTAGTAAATGACTTGGTAATTAATTTAGTTAATAATCAATAATATATTTCGATAAATTAGTTTTTGATTAAGTGAAGGAGCTAAGTAATTACAAATTTTAATTATTTGTAAATAATATTTAGTTATAAAAATATTAATTGGTTATTAAGTTTATTTAGTTGTTGATTAGATTAAAAAAAGGAGTTAAGTAGTTACAAAATTAATTAGTGATTAAAAAATTAAATTTTTATCGAAATCTAATTTAGTATTTAAAAAATTAATTAGTAATTAAGTTTATTTAGTTAATAATTTAGTAAATGACTTGGTAATTAATTTAGTTAATAAGTCAATAATATATTTAGTTAAAAATATTGTTGACTAGAATGTTGTATAATTCCGGTAGCAAATAAGGGTTTAAGCAACCTTATCCTCCCATGTTGTTAGCCTAGGTCGGTTTTGTCTCCCCATGTAATTTTTCACCTTATTTCAATATATCTCCCGGTACCGTCCTTGTTTTGAAGAGAAAAATTTTAATATATTTGAAATTGTTCATGTTAATGTGAATGTTATATGGTAGTATTATATAATTAATATGTTATTTTAATACTAACGAATGAAATAGTGTGCGAGTTAAAATGCCTCGAGATAGGGGACGTACTCGGCCTCACCGGCCATGTCATATGGTGAGGGTCGCGGTTCGGACATCGATTTAGGTAGTGATCGTGGACGTGGACGTTATTCTCCTTCCTTTTCTGGTCGAATGGACCCCCATGCAAATGCCTCCGGACCACCCTTCGGTTCCACCACGATATACCCATCATTCCTTTTGTGGCCTCGAGCCCGAACCGTTTCCTTCTAGACCTTAACGTCCCCGAGCACATTTCCCTTCGTCGTCATCGGCGCCCTCGTCATCAAAACAAGACAACCGTTATGATCTTGAACAAGTAAGGTCACGAACGTGATTTGTCCATCAACTCCGAAACATATCGGACCCATGATCGATCCGTGAGTTTCGATCATTATCGTTTGTCGCAATGAGTACGTTCTATGCATAATTTTATGAAAATATTTTTCTTCATTATCATAATTATATATTTATTTATTTGTTAATTTTATGGCTACTTTCATAGGTTGTGTCCTTCGGATGTTTGCGCTTGGCATATCTCTAAGACATGCCACGAGTATGTTCACATTTTTGGATGGACGTAGAAGAAAATGAATTAAAAAAAAAGACTTATACGGAAAAGAATTTAAGGTACTCGTTTTATTTAGTTAATTTATTATGTTACTTCATATTAAAAAAAAAACATCCAATTAAGTATACTAATGAATTTTTTTTCTTATAGGAGACATTTAGGTGGGAGAATAATGAGTTCACTCGTTAAGACGAGCATGGGAACATCCGGCACAAAAGCGATATTTTGATTTTTCGTTTCATCTCAAGCAAAGCTCGAAGCCAACATTTATCTCATAGAACATATGGGATGCATGGCGTGCGGAATGTGCAAAACCCGAGGCCATTGCTCGATCTAAGATGGCGGCACGAAACCACATAAGCCGGACCGGTGGGGCTAGAGCCGGTCCTTCGAGGCATACGAGAGGGTCAATCGGCCATAGAGAGCACGCAATATGCATGGTAAATATATTTATATATAGTAATTTTTTTAGTATTTTCAATATAATTAATTAAAAGCTTGAGTATATTTCATACATTTACGTAAACTTATTTCGAGCATGAGTTATTGGGGCGTGAACCTAATCCGCATGAGATTTTTAAAAGGACCCATCGAGAAAAGGTTGATGATCAATATGTATTCGTCGATCAATGATTAAGAATCATCATAGTAAGCTTTTAGTTTATTACGTCAAATCAAACATATCAATTTTTAATGTTATTTAACATAGCTCGTTTAATATTTATATTTCACAATTATGCAGGAGATCGTAGAAAGAATGATTGAGGAGGATGTTGCTAGCCAACGGATCAAGGGAGTTCATCGTTGGACATCAACATTAATGAGATATTTAGGATAGTCTGTTGGTGGAGGATATAGTAAGAGGAAGAGGATATACGGACTCGGGTCACACGTATCGCATTACTACTCCAACGTCGGTACGACCTCTAGTTCGGCAACTTTGCATTGCAATATTAGTGATGAGGCATAGCGAAAGGAGAACGAGGATCGATATAGTCAACTAGAGTCTACTCGTCACATCGTTGGTGGCTACAACTAAAAGATTGGAGAAGTACGGTCGACAACAACAAGAGATGATGACACGGATGCGACAGAATGTTTATGCGAGCATATGCATTCATGCAGTTCACCCATCGTTCCTAACACCGACAATGATTCCACCCAACCTTCGAGTGACGATCCCGCTGGTCGGTCCTAGCTTATTATGTTTTATTTCTTGTTATAACAATAAACCTTTGAATTTTTATGATAATTTTTAATTTAATAATATTTTTTAAATTTTAAATAAATTTATTCAATTTTATCTTTTGTGTA